CATCTCATTATTCATAATTCCAACCAATTGTTATGGGAAGGTTTTTGCAATGTATCTTCTTTCTTCTTTTCTAATTGTTCTAATTGCTCAATAATCGGGCAGAGAGTTCTTGATGGATAATCGGTTGAAATTATGAATAATGAGATGAAATTTGCTTCGAAGGACCTTTTTGATCTTCCTTATTGAGCTATTTCTCTTTGGAATTGGCACAATCATGCTAAGTGCAGCCGGAAAAGTGCAGAGCGTTCTTTGAAGCCAAACTGCTTCTCCCTTCGTGGATCGCGGTGTTTGCCCTCTGTGGAGCGAGTGGGTATGCAGGTGCAGTAACGTGCCACTTTCTTCGGTCAAAAGTGCACGGAAAGGTCCTTGAAGTAGTGATATCCCTCATATCCCTTTGCCGACTCCACACTCTGCCTCGCGGTACCGCACGGCCAACCACACGCTAACCATGACCAAACGCGCTGCTCGTCTGCAGCCTCTCACTTCTGGTTTCTCTCTACCGCTGAGTAGGTGCTTCGTTGTGGGAGCTTGACATCGACGGAATTGCTGCAGATAGCGCGGGAGGATTGAGGAGGCGACAAGGGTACCACTACTAGAAAAAATACCGAAGAAAGGAAGAATCATGGAACAACAGGGGCTTACGGTAAGTTCTATATTAGCAGCTGAATGGCTCGACTTCGCTCACTTAGGGAATCCCCGTGCGGCTGTATATTGGTGGTTAGGGTGTCGTACTTGGAGAAGAGCTCAAAAAAATTTGGACACCGATGAGGGCGATGAAGTTCCGGGGTCGACTTGAGCCAAATTGAGCCAATGGTGGTGAGGGGGGGGGACGGGGGCTGAGGAGTAGTAAAGAAGATTACCCTAACCGCGATGTGCCCTGTTGGTAACATTCAGATCAGGGCGCATGATTTCACAGCGGAAAATTTTTGCTAAATGCACCCCCATCCCCTGAAGTTTCTTCTTTATTACGTCAATCAGCCTTCCCTTTCACCAAGTTCCCAGAACTCTGTACTGTAAGCGGTAGGGATCGGAGTAGGGGTGGAGCTGGCGGAGGGGGGTGGGGGCACCCATCTATGAGACAAGCTTGGAGTTAGAGTGGGCACGGAAACATTCGGGTACAACCATGAACCCCTGGCAGACCCTGGTCAGCAAAAGCATAACAAGCTTCAAATCTCTGGCGAGAGCAGTGCTAGATGGAGGGCCTCGAAGAGGCAAAATAACTGACAGTGAAGCCAAAAGTTTCCTCTCCGACTTAGCCGATCATGTCTCCCTGAGCGGTACAGGATCACGGACTCCGCCCCTTCTTCCCTCCTCCCTCCCCGGTTACGCTTCACAAGCATTTCTATAGAGAATAAGCATGTTCTAACGAAGGTACGAACGCCTAAGCTCGCAAAAAAAGTGAACTTGTAGATTGTGTGGAAGTGCAAAAAGCAATTGCTCGTGATTTTGTAGATACAAATTACATGTGGTAGATAGAAATACGAATTTGATTACCGTACCTCTTCTAACCAACAATAAATGGTGATGATTTGATCGCTTTCTTGGACCTTCTGAATTTGCTTGAAATACAGCTGAACAGTGACGTTTGTTGGTCCGGAATCAGGCGATTTCACTGGCCTGAAAATCGGAAAGATGGCATTTGGTTCGGCTCTGCAGTTGAATCACTGACTTTGAAGAACGTAATTCCCTGATAAAATAATTGAATTTGGGAGTATTTCGGCTCAGCGGGGGCACCAAAGGGTACTCGATAGAGCTTGCACGGGCCATCTTGTGAAGATCTGAGGATTCCGGCAAACAAAGTGAGTCATTAGTTCCATTTCACGATTTCACAAGTATCTACAGTTCTCAACAGAGTAAGATCTGTTAATTATCATGAACAAGCTGAGGGAAATAGCAAAAGTGCAAAGTGCTCCCTCCAAGCCGAACAGCGCCTGAATTCGTTACCTTAATTCTTTCCTATAGTTAGCGAACAGCTCGTTCATCAGTTGTTGTTGTTGGCCTTGGCCCTGCACCTGAATGATTCAAAGATGAAAGGAGTTGGTGAAGGTAAAGTTTCTGTGACAGCTGAACAGTGACGCTCTCCGCGTTGCTGCATCCGCTCCGTTAGGTGTCAGGGGCTAGCGCTAATGAAAGCTATGGGCTTCCCAGGATGATCCCGCCTACGAGTTTAGCCCCAGTGTCCCTTCTAAGACACGTCGTACGGCTGACTATAAGTGGAAAATGTCTTCTGTGTGCAAAGAACTAGTAAAATCTCAGAAGAACTTCAGAGGTCATTGACTTTGCTGCCTAAATGTGACTTGAAGCTACCCAGGACCAGAACTCCGCCCTAGAATAGCAGCGGTTGTTGAGTGTGACGTATGCTCCCCTTTTGACTCACTCGTTTCTTTGTCGTCTAGTCCCT